CTGAAACAGCCACTATGGACAGCTGTTTTTACTCTATCAACCTTCAAATCTAAATTCACCTCCAAAAAGTTCAAGATCTGGTTCTTCAAATCCAATATTGAAATCTTAGACCCTGACGTTATGACCAATAACTCATCCAAGTACCTTACAGCATATATCTTTTCCGGTTTATAAAAGACATCTGAGGCGGAAACAAGCTCATTCAAATCAAGTTTGGGATCATTCTGATTCATTTTAAGGCGCATATCTTGGATCTCTTTATCCAAAGTTCCAAACCATCAAAGTAAATATTAATCAAAATTGAACACACGCCAGATTCCTAGGGAAACCCTCTTCCTAAATAACTCCCACCCAGTTCAATTCTCACTACTTCACAATCAAACAACCTCTTGAGCATACCAATCAACATCATATCCTTAATTTTCTCCTCAATAAACAAACACAATTTACCTATGTTACACTTCTGAAAGTTCTCACGGTTAAACGAAACACTAAACCACCAACTTAGATTTTGTACAGAGTTTTTAAGGTACCTAATTGCAGTATGCCTTCCCATACCAACACAGCCCCCGTAAGAAAATGTGACAAACCGTTCATCATAGACAATTTCCAATACCATCCTCATAGCTTCAATCAAGACCTTCAATTTCAAATTGGGCAGGACCAGAGGCTCACCTCTATCCCTTCATTGCGTCATTTTGACACAGCAAGACACAACATCAAACTCATTTTCTCTAATTTCACCACTCATTTCAATTATGGAGAAGCATTTGGAGATGGAATCCAGAAAATGAGGGAGCAACTGAGTTGTCTCTCGCGTTGTGTTGCCAGGGCTGGTGAGGTTTTGGCACACAGTGAGGAGGACAGAGGGCAAAGCAATGACATTCTGGACAAGGTTGGAGAAGTTCACATGAGAGTATTGGGAGAGAACCAGGATCTTGAGCTGGGGTTTTGTTAAGGGCTCTGTGGGGTTTGCGTAAGGGTTTAAGGGAAGGGTTTAGTATTGTTTAAATGCTGCAGTGATAGAGATAGAATGCCCAAGATTGAGCCTAGTGATTCTGTTGAGCTTCTTAAGCATTGATGGGTAGTGAAGAAATATGAAGCAAAAGATGAAATTGATTCCTATATTCTCTTTGTTTTGGAGATCCACCTCTTTCTTCTTCTCACTTTTTCTTTTAACCTCACAGAAAGTATCTGTAAGACATCATACAAATTTCTAATCTTGTTGGAAGGAATAAATAAATAAATAAAAGCAAAAACTGCATCACAAAATTCTTGCAATAGAAGTATTAAGTCTATTGACTATTGTCCAATTCACAATGTAAATCGATTAAACATAGTGAAATTCAATAAGAACCTAATAATACCTGATGTACTTTGTGTAAAATCAAGATGATAACTTGTATGAAATGGAAAAAAACTAGTAAATTGATAATAACAAGGCTTGACACAATGTGGATGTTCAACTGGAGCTAGAACAATTCCACTATCAATGTCAAAATACCAATAACTCAGAAATTCTGATCATCAGACATCACCATATTCATTATAAAAATAAAAATAAAAATAATTAAAAATAATAATAAAAATAAAAAACAGAGAAGAGCTACAAGGCTAATAAATTTTGATAGTGATCAAACCAAGATCTATTTCCATAAGAAGAGAATTAACCAACAACAAGGATCACTTCCTCCAAGGGGCATCTTGGCTAACCAAGGGGCATTCTACCAGTTCAATTCAATGACACCATACATTAGCTAAACACACCCACAATAGGAATTGTGAGATAACAATATTAGAAAAAAGGGGAAAAAAACGTAACATTCCTCCGCACCACCTATTTTCCCGAGAACGTAAAAGAAACACACAAAATTAGTAGAAGAGGAGCTCAAACAATGTGCAAGGATAGAGTATACAATAATTTAATTCTTAAGACATGCAATCTCAATTAGTCTCTCTAGAAATACACATTAGAGTGCTTCCATATAGGTAACCAATTATTGGAAAATTTTATCAAAAAACTCTCACTCATTTCCCCCTTCCCCTTTCATCCATTTAATGACTTACTTTTGTCCATTCAACCAACTGATAAATATTCATTTTCATAAGTCCATCTTCACCTTAACCTACTTTAAGGCACTCAATCTTAGCTGGATTTTTCATGTTTATATTGAAACATCAACCATATTTTTGAATTATAAGCTAACAATTTCTTTGCATGGCAGTTTCTATTAGAGGAAAAATAAATAAATTCTTTCAGACAGCAAGTACTCATCATATTTTGTGCAAAAGAGACTGATGACCAGTAAGCTTGACTTGAACACCCACGTCCAAAAACATGGGAAAACCCAAGACAGCTTCTTTCCTATCTGATTGAATGAAAAATCATTCATAATACCATAACCAATCTCGAGTATTAAATTTCGATTTCGCCATGTTCAAGTTAACAAAAAATTGCATAGCAAGTTCTAATAGGAATTTTAACAAACATCTTATGGGCACTAAAGTAGTCATCCAACAGCCACTAATTAAAACACATTTCAACAATCAACAACTAGTATACCGCACAAAAAGCAAAAACGGCTCCCGTAACACATAAAACATTTGAAAATTTTAAGCTGAGTTTGAGAAATTAACAGCGATTTTGGGTTCAGTAGCGTACCAGACTGGAGCCGAAAACCAGAAGGCGGCGCCGGAGGAAGGAGGGAAGGCCGGAAAAGGTGAAGAAGTTGGGCTATACAATTGAGGGAAGTACAAATAAACCCACTGTTCTAGCCTTCGAGCTTCTAGGTACACAAATGAGCTCCAAAGCCCATTCCTACAGCTAAAACCTTTTCACCCGTATTTAATTGGGCTTAAGCCCCAAAAATGCAACAAACTTTAAGACAAAAAGGCCGAAAAAAAGTATTGTTGCGTAGGTGATATTCCACAAATATATAACCTGATTTCAACATGATAAATAAAAATAAAAATAAATATATATGTGTATTTTATTTAATTGTTAGAAATAATTAATAATTATAATTGTTAATTTATATTTGATAAAATTGCTAATTTTTATTGTTTAATATTTTAAGATTAATTTATAAATTAATATTTTCAAACACTTTAACTAAATAATTATGGAGTAAGGCTTGGCTTATTATGATTCTGGTTTTTAATTTTTAGTTTTTACATTTATAAATTTTACAACTCTAAACAAAAATCTTGTTTACTTTTGTGTATATTTTTAACATATTATCCTGATTACTATAGAAATAAAAAAAATAGTTATAACCTTATTAAATGAGTTTCTATTTTTTGTTGTTAGTATTAAAATTTATTTTAAACAAATTTTTAATTTTTAATTTTTAATTTTAATTTTTAATAATTACAAAATTTATAAAAACTGAAACTAAAAATTCAAAAGCACAATCATATTAAACAATGTCTAAAAATTTAGTATGATTTTACTTTTTGGTTTATGGTTTTTAGTTTTTATATATTTAGTCATTTACTAATTAATACCACATTTTGACTGAATTAAATAAACTTTAATTTTTATAAAAAATTAATTTTAAATACAATAATATCTATCAAATATACAAAATAAAAATTAAAAACTTAAAATTACAACTATAACAAAACTATAAAATCAAGTAAATATACACATTTATAATATCTTGTCTAACCTTATTAGTTGATTGCATGGCCATAGCCATGGCCCAATATGATATCCCGTCGTTTATTACATTAAACTGCATTTTTCATCCAGCAAACAGATTTTTGAAAAAGAAGAATGCAAAAACTTGATCTGATTCCAACAAAATTTGATATCTCCAAGAAATTCGTTTTACTAGTCTTACACTTCCATTTCCGCTGATTCCACGCAGAGCCTGTGGCAAAAAAGACCAATCACAGCAACATTATTCATTCAACACTGCGCCAAAACGACTCTTTCCTTTTCCATCATCCTCTCCCCCACCCAGCAATCCAATTCTTCATTAAACCATTGCTCAAATGGCTGCCTTACCCATTGGCACTCAGTTTTCACTACTACATCAACTCAAAAACCGCTCTCCTAAACCTCTCCCCTCACTGCGCTATTTGCCGAGTTTGGATCCCCCTTTTGTAGAATTAGAGTCCCAAGATTGGTTGGAGACGGAGTTCTTGCTAGAGCTGAGAATAAGGCAAAAGCCTCTCCTCCTACTCCTCCTGTCCAAGAACAATCTGAATCCAACAACGAAAAGCAGCTCCAGGTTCTTTATTTATAACTTCCTTTTTTTGTTTATGATACAAATTTGAAGTGCCCATTTGTTTCTTTTGTAAATCTATGTTTTTGAGGATGTATTTGTCTTAAAGTTTGTTTCTTTTCAATCATCTTGTTTGAATCTTGGATCTTGAATCTGG